GTACACCAGCCGGTGGGCAAAATGAGTGCCAACTGTTTTAACTTCTTCGCCGCGTCCCAATCAAATCCCAAAGCTTTGATTTCAAAAACATCCCCAATGTACTGGGCGAAAGTCATAGATTTTGGATCGAACATAGGCATTTTCTGTTCATTGCTGCATGCCGCCATTTTTGTTTACGTACGATGAACAATCCTTGTAGTGTTTCACGCGCGCAAGTCCTCGCTCCACGCTGCCACCAAATGTAAGACTTGTAAATGGACGACTGACTCCAACAAACGTTTTAACAATTATGTATTGTAATTATAAACAAAGTTATTAAATACAATGAGTGACGGAATCAACAACAGAAGGTACGACGACACACGTCCAAGCACTGACACACACGTGCTCCTCTCTAACTATGGACTCTCTCTCTGACTGGGGACCAGTCTCACACACACGTGACACCCGGTCACACTAAAATCAGTAAAACATAAAATCAAATACCTACAGACCCCACCTTTTTCTTTCATTATTTTAAACTACTCGATACTTGTGACTGATCAGCACTCAAGTCGTAAAAAGTTTGATATAAGAAATTTTTTTATTGCCTATTAAGTTTTTAAATACCCCAAATATGTTATTTTTTAGTGCAAAAAGGTCACACAATAATTTACGCGCATTAATTTGCAAGATTTGTTTAATGATAAATATTATTCAAACTATTTTACGTAAAATAAGATTATATTTATTGCCATGCTTACATCTAATCAAATATAATAAGGGTTAAAGTAATTAACCAAAGAGATGAAATTTAAGTGCAAAAAGGTCAACTTAAATGTATTCAAACACACTTAGCTATTTTGAGTCCTTTATAAAAAAATATACAAAAAATCCTTGATATAACAAATTTCGGAGCTTCCTTAATATCGCGTTACATTGGTGAAAATATATGTTCTAAATAACGCTATTCAAACTTAGAAGTCCATAAAAAAGTGAAAATATGAAAGTACTTAATATACTAGTACTTAACATAGGTCAATTTTAGTTACCATATATAGTGAATTTCTGCTAGGGATATCCAAAGAGGTGATAGGCATGTGAATGTGATCGTGTTACATAAATTTTTTTCAAATGCATTTACTGTTTCACAATTCTTGTGCAATGTTTACAGCTCGAAGATTCGTATTTCATAACTTTGATATCAACTTTGTCTGTCTTCATATGTATGTGATAGTTACTTAATAGAACAAACTGGTTTTTATATGATTGAGAGACAAAACTATAAATTTTGTCATTGCATATTTCGGGCAAATCATACTCCAACCGACTTTCCGCAGTTACATGGAAACGGCAGACATGTTGAATGACAAGTAACGTTCTCTTGTCTTCGTTCAGGATTAACCTTGGTCAGATGTTTATCATGAGCTGACATCTGCCTACTATAAATGTCATTTTGTCAAAATAGTCAAGGCCTCCTTTTTTCTTAAATTCACTTCAAATGGCAAAAAAACATGTAGTGTAGTGTGCACAAAATGACATCCAGGGAAATCATCCAGTCAGAACAATTTTTGATGCGAGATGGTATATTTATATACTTAAACTGATGAAAGAAAATTTGATGAAAGGTCGTTCATTACTAGGTACGAAATGTGATTAGCTTTCGTATATAAAAGAGTAAATGGACTGGTATATTGGGTCAGAAGTTGCAGTAGGTTACATCACATCTTTCTTGTTTGTTATAAAGTAAATGGATTAATCTATAGAGTCAGAAGTACAGTAGGGTACAATGTAGATCTTTCTTGCTTGGTTGTGGTTTGTCCATTCTAAGGTCTTCAAATTGATCAGCTTCGGGCAATGTTATTTAGATTGCAGCATTAAGATTACTAGTACTGGCCTCATATGATTCTGTGTTATTAACTTGGCGACAGGTGCTCCTGGGATGCTCATAAGTAACTTCGAATTATTTGCCAATATCATTTCACAGCGTCTTTTCTTCGTGAATCCATGATATTTTTGACAATATTCTTATGTTTTATGTACACGCAGTAGAACAAAATTTATTTTATCAATCAACTGAAGGTCTTCATTCATCTTAAGAATTTTCTTTGGGTTCAGAATTATGTAGACATTCTACATCCATTAAATCTCTCCCTAAGTCGTAAAATCGTCTGCTTAAATCCATGACAGATTGCATACTATCAGGGGACAGTTTCAAAACCTGTGACAGAAAAAGAATTAAATAAGAGAGATGTTGGTAATGTGAAATGACTAATTTACAACCCAAGTAATGATACAACTTGTCCATTGAATCGATAAAACTTCCCACATTGAATCATATGACTGCTCATTTAGCAAATTAAGTATCTGACTTTCTCTTCTCCATGTGTAAACATTACATTTTTATTTGCAAGATTGTTTTGAAAAAAAGACTGTTTGTATAACCCATCCTTAGATATGTAATATTTATCAACATTAAAAAAGATCTAAACACCAATAAAATGTTTTTTTAGGACTTTAAGTTTTCATATAAATGTGTACATTCTGACCTTATTTAGTTTATTTTAAAGAAAGGCATCTATCACATTTTTTCCAGGAAAATGTTCTATGACAATGAAGTATAAGTGAACGGAAATAACAGTTGTTATACAGGTAACCTACCTGGGGGATGCAAATGATGTTCTTGGTCTTATATAATGTTCAGAATACTTTATCTATCTCTATTTGTGCCACTTACCGTATAACTTCTAAAAGGGAAGTTGGGAACAACTTCTCTTATGTAATAATAGCAATACATAGAAAATAAATGAGGATGTTGCAAATAATTAGAAACCTATTTGAAAGATTTTCTGAGCTTGATATATTTTTTTTTTTTTTTTTTTGTATTAATTCGTTTTTTTTTTTTTTTTTTTTTTTGGCTTCTCACCCTTTTAAGTTTGTGACTACGCCTCTGGAGATATATGTATTAATTCGCCTACCCTCTGTTCGTTCGTTTCCAACGTCATCCTCTCAAACTCACTGGCAAACCTTTCTTGCTATGCTTCTGATTTGTGTTGTTTGAATAGACTTTTTAAATACGTTCTTTATTCCAAATATTTCTTTTGTCATAAGGATTTGGTCTTTATTTGACATAAGGTTTGGAAAAGTGACAAAGTGCATTTTCACTTCATCTATAAAATTGTCTTGCAGAAAATTAAACTTAAAGTAGCAAATCATATATTGAAACCAGATACATGTATAACTACAATTGTGCTCATTACACAAACAAGGTCTAAACATACCATCTTACAAAACATGCAAATATTTTTGAGTTTGTCGATGTGACTGGCCAAAAGGATCAGCTAGTTCTCCACCCACACCCACCTGCATCCTCAACACATATATAGATAGAGAGAATAAGAAAGAACACAAGGATAATTTTTAACGATTGATCAAGCAGAATGTTACTGTTTCGCATTCTACTAAAATTTTATTTAATTCCGTTTTTTTTTTTACCACAAAGACGATCTTTTCAATCCTCATAGTGTGTTTCTAATATTATATGACATTATGTTTTGGAATCTCTTGGAAAGGCACTAGGAATACAAGGAAACGAAAAACATGAAATACAACTTTTAATTCGTCATTAATATAATTCACATAGCTCTTAGTAATTTTATTTGTTATACATAATTTTCATTTTGTTTGTCTTCATTCTGTATTTTGTACTATTTAATTTTTTAAATGTATTTCAGCCATAATTTTGGCCATGAATCCGGGTGATGCAGTGTCTCTGATGGACATTGCAGATAAACTTGGGACTGTGGGTCATGTCTACTTTCTTCCCGCCAGATCTCCGTTTTTCAACACAAGCATAATCAATGAAGGTGTGCAAAATTTGGGATCTCACACCTATCAATCCCTTTTTGTTTTATACCCTATGTTCAATTCGACGGTAAGACCTTATAATACAACAACTCACGAACCAGAAAAAAGTGATTACGTCAGCAAATCATTGTACGATGCTGCTTCCTGTATATTTCAAGGAATGTACAACAACTACATGAATATTTCTGTACGGAATCAAAGAAGTGTATTGGATTTAGTAGGGACACAGTTTACAAATGGTAATGAAACATTTACTTATTCTGCGACAGGAGAACGTTATTTTCACTTTGGCTTACTAGACATCGAGGAGAATCTTGGGAGATTGACATTCAGCAGGGTAGTATACAAACAGAATAGAAATGGAGGCTGGATACAAGGGATCGTTAGCGACATTGACTGGGCGGACGACAAAGCGGTACAGCCAGACCCGTGCTTCATGCGCCATGACTGTACCCCAACAGATGGTAACAATCTTTCTGTACATAGTATTTTAATTTTTTTTATTAAATATCTAGAAATATTAAAGCGTTACAATATTAATCATATATTTACATTTTAGTACAGTTGGCATTAATATGGGATATAGTTTTGTCATTCTACACCTTGTATTCTGACACCATATGATGTCAGTGTCATGTATTCACAGGCACGTAGTATCAGGGGGGGCCAGGGGGGGCCTGGCCCCCCCACTTTCTCTCCCGACATTACCTTTACTATAGAAAATGTATACTGAAAGGAAGGTTGCCCCCCCCCCCACATTTCAGTATAGTGTAGTGTTATAAAGAAAAAAGTTAGCCACTCCCCCCCCCCCCCCCCCCCCCCCCCCCCCCACGAAATAGGATTTTCGACTTTGGGCAACTTTTAATATTTGGTTTTTTTTTTTTTGCTTGTCAAGTTTTTCAGGTAAGTAAAAAAAATTTTCTCAGGTTGGCCCCCCCACTTTCAAAAATGATGCTACGTACCTGATTCAGATACATGTGTGTACATTTTTATGCGCCCGGATCGATAGATCCGGGGCGTATATTGTTTTTGTCCTGTCTGTCTGTCTGTCTGTCTGTCTGTCTGTTTGTCTGTTTGTCTGTTTGTCTTCAAACTTTAACCTTCGCCATAACTTTTGAACCATAAGAGATAGAGACTTCATATTTGGTATGCATACTCCACTAATGAAGCTCTTTCAAGTGACACCAAGGTCAATGACCTTGTGACCTTGACCGCGACCTATATGCTAAATATAGTTTTTTCCTGCAGACTTTAACCTTCGCCGTAACTTTTCAACCATGGAAGATAGAGACTTCATATTTGGTGTGCGTACTCCACTCATAAAGTTCTTTCAAATGACACCAAGGTCAATGACCTTGTGACCTTGATTGCGACCTATATGCTAAAAATAGCTTTTTTTGAACTTTCACCATAACTTTTGAATCATAGGAGATAGAGACTTCATATTTGGTTTGAATACTCCACTAATTAAGCTCTTTCAAGTGACACCAAGGTCAATGACCTTGTGACCTTGATTGCGACCTATGTGCTAAAAATAGCTTTTTTTTAATTTTCACCATAACTTTTGAATCATAGGAGATAGAGACTTTATATTTGGTTTGAATACTCCACTAATTAAGCTCTTTCAAGTGACACCAAGGTCAATGACCTTGTGACCTTCATTGTGACCTATATGCTAAAAATAGCTTTTTTGAACTTTAACCATAACTTTTGAACCATGAGAGATACAGACTTCATATTTGGTATACAAACTTCACTAATCAAGGTCTTTCAAATGAAACCAAGGTCAATGACCTTGAGACATTGACTGTGACCTATATGCTAATAATAGCGTTTTTCGAACTTTGCTGCCGCCGGGCGCATAGTGTTTCACAAACACATCTTGTTGAATATGAAATAAACGGTTCCTTTCAAACAGTTTACGTGTAATTGATAGATGTTGACATTTTAGACCTTCAAAGCCTTATAAAGAAATTTGCCTTTATTTCTTTACGCATAATTTTTAACAGCGTTATTTATTGTACTGCAGCAAAATACAATAGTCGAGGGAGCAAAAACAAAACATAAAAGTGTTACATTAAGACTTTCGGCTCTATCAAGTTAAGATCATTTGTAATATTCTAAAACATCCAAATTTTAGGGCACAACAAAGCAATACCAAACTTTTTATTATATCAGGAAGCTATAACACTGAAAGTAATACCTAGTTAATTTTAAAGCGTTGGACGTGATTAGTTATCGTTCTGTTTACTGGCTAAGGCAGTGAGTTGTTGGTGTCCCGTGGAGCAGGGGTCGTATAGATACCTCGTGAAACAGTGAAAGTTACTTATAATTTCTTGATTAGCTAATGGTATCAAGTAAATCTACCCAACACTTAGTAAAAACTACATTTAAGGTAGTAATTTTATGGACAGTGAATTTACTAGTCTTCTACTGACTTGAACGAGTTTTTTTTCTTCAGTAAATTACTTACCGAGTTTACTTAGATCGTGTTTCGAGTAGTCTCTGTCTATTATAACACTCTTACCTTGAGTTCCAGTTTGGCAATATCGATATAATATGTAAGGTTTTTTTGGTTCCTAAATACGGTAAAACGAAGTTTATAGTTTATATATACATGTACATGTATTAAATCAATATGTATTTATGTGTTGAGTCTGCAAACCGGAAATATAAAAACTGAAATAAAAAGGACAATAGTATTGACTTCCAAGTAGTAAAATAAATGACAATGAGAATCCTGCAAAAAGTAATTAATTCAAAGATTTTTTGTTCTCGTTTTTCACACTAATCTGTATTAAGTAGCTGCTTGCATGAAGATTTATTCTTAAGGTTTACTGCGTCATTTTCATTTTCTTGCGCTCTCTGTTTAAGTAACGGCAGACATGCAATAGCTGTCTTAACCGTCCGTATTATCAATGAAAATGACAGGCTAAATACAGATAATATACATTTACTTCATAGACTGTATTAAATCGAATGGATTTTAAGAAACAGATTTAGGAAATATACTGCAAAGAAGTGTCCTAACTTCAGAATCAGTGACAAAGATGAAATAAACATGTCTTTGGTCTGACGTTTTTTTTAAAATTATTATTTATTGCCTAAGGATTACAAAATCATTAGTGAACAGAACTTTACAACTCTTTATAAAACTTTTAATTTATTATTCTGATTTTATAAACTACCGACTTATTGATTATGTTTTTTTTTTAATATTTTCAAAAAGTGATTATTGAAAAATTAGAAAGTGTTTAGAAATACACATGAACAATATCAGATACGAGTATTTTATTGAATACTTTTGAAATTATCCAAAAACTTTATCAAGAATAATTTCAATGTTTACTTTAAGTGGGTTATTTTATTTGAATCATTGAAGTCTCTACTACAAGTAATTTATTTTTTAGGAATAATTTAAGTGTTTTCTTTAGGTGGTTTTTTTAATGAATAAGTTATGTCTACTTTAAGTGGGTTATTTGATTAAGAATATTTTAAATTAATTTAAGTGAGTTATTTTATTTACTAAAGATTAACTAAAAGACAAGATATGGTAGCCGTTGAATCTGGCCCATTATTTGATGTAAAAATCAGAGCACAGTTTAAAATGTGATTGTTTTTATTTAAGAACTTACATTGATGCCTGTTTTAAAACCAGCACTAATTTTGATTCAAAGCATAAAAGGAGGCCATAAGCGGGTGCAGAAATAGGACGTTTTCCCGAATTCTTTCAGTTCTGGTGAAATTTCGTCAAATTTTTCCCTCCGGAAAACATAAAGCACAGGCTTGCTTATCTGAGATTTTTAAACACAAGATGCATCTGATACTTTTGGAAGCCTTTAGGACTGATCAAAAATTTTTTTTTGAATTCGATAATATCGTTATGATAACGAATTGTCGAATTTTTTTATAGGTCCTAATTGGGCTTCCGTAGATACTAGCGTATAAAATATATAAATTTGGTAGATAGGCAAGCTTGAGCTCTATGTTTTCTGAAAGAATATATGCAATAAAATTGGTTAAAATTGGCATAAAAATGAGAAAATTTGGAAATTAACATATTTTATTACCTTCCTGTGACCTCTGTGGATACCTTAACTTAGAACCAATACTCATTTTGTGGCAGGTGTGATAAGTGGTTCTCGATCTATAAACTGTTGCATCATTCTAAAAGACACCCCAAACCAAGGGCCAAAAATGATCTTAGCCTACCTTGTCCTGTCTATTTCATGTGGGTTATTTTACATGGCCGTAGGAACCGGGCCCTCAACTGAAAATATACGGCCGTGACCCAAACTGTTATTGCTTCCTACGGACCTGTTTTATCAGGAATAAGCTAAATGTTTACTTTAAGTTGGTTATGATGATGACAAACAACTTGGAAGAAGGCATCAAATCTTGCATTATCGATTGTTTCTGTTTAAAGTCTCAATACTACCAAAATTCAAGACATGAATTCTTAAACTTATTTATAGCAACAACAAAACGTTTTATATAAAACACTGTCATATACATTTATATAGATGTAATTTTTATTTGTTAGAAATATTCCTAAACCGGTACCACTTTGTATTTTGCATTTTTGTTATTTTGTTCATTCTATTTTTCTCTTTTGTACAATTTTTCCTTATATGGCTTTTTCTGTATTTTTTCTATGTTACCTTGTTCATTTTGTTTGTGTTTTTTATTCTCTTCTTTTGTACAACTCTCTTATTATCATTATTTGTTTTCAAATTTGTACCTTGACCGTAATGTAGGGAGAGGGCTAAAATAGGCTGCGCCTTCTGCCCAATCCTATTCACAATTAATAACATCAGTGAATAAAATATTGTTTAAATTAAACATGTTAAACTACTAACAAATATGCGTTCTTTTCTTGAAACAAAATCATATAGATCACACATATAATATACACATATCATATAAATCACACATATATTCAAATGAATTACAAAATAATCCTTAAAGAATATTCCTGTCCCTTGAACGCATGATTGCAACCCTAAATTAAATCATTTTCCTTTAGCAAAAAATAAACGATATCAAACAGTTTCAAATACAACTTCTAATGAGATTTTCTTTCAAGTATACTCGCTATATGATTTTAATATTAAACTTTTTATACATCGTGGTTTGTTAAGTTTCAGAAAGATAATTGTATGAAGACAACAAACATGGATCAAAGATCAAATGTTTTAAGAAGGCGTTAATAAACTGAGTTTAGGTGACTGATGCGTGCTTTACGTTTTATGATAATGGATTTCCATTGCAAATTCAATTACTTGCACCATAAAAATCATTGAATTTGTACGGTGTTTACACAGCGATATGCTTTCAATATAAATATACCGTACAATACACCGTAAAATTAAATTATTTAGGAACTTCAGAAGAATTTTGTGAACAAAGTGTAAGAATAAAAAGCTAAGACATATCCCGGTATTAAAAAAAATTTGTCGATGTTGTAAAAATGGGAAAAGTAAAGGCTCTTAAAGTATACAATTGGAACAAAATACTTAAACAAAATGACAATAATTCTAACAAATAAATACATAGCCAAGGCGTGCAAGGTGTTAGGTACAGATAAGGCTCAAGTGAGCTTTTCTGATCAAAATTTGTCCGTTGTCTGTCGTCGTCGTCGTCGTAAACTTTTCACATTTTCTTCTTCTTCTTCTCAAGAACCACTGGGCCAATTTCAACCAAACTTGCCACAAAGTATCCTTAGGTAAAGGGGATTCAAGTTTGTTTAAATGAAGGGCCAAGCCCTTTTCCAAGGGGAGATAATTATGAATTAGTGAAAAATTAATGGCATTTTTCAAAAATCTTTTTCTCAAGAACCACTGGGCCAGGAAAGATGAAACTCATGTGGAAGTATCCTCAGGTAGTGTAAATTCAAGTTTTTTTCAAATCATGACCCCTGGGGGTAAGGTGGGGCCACAATGGCCGATCAAAGTTTTACATAGGAGTATATAGGGAAAATCTTTAAAAATATTCTTCTCAGGAACCACTGGTCCAGGAAAGATGAAACTCATGTGGAAGCATCCTCAGGTAGTGTGGATTCAAGTTTGTTCAAATCATGACCCCCGGGGGTAGGGTGGGGCCACAATGGCTGATCAAAGTTTTAGATAGGAGTATATAGGGAAAATCTTTAAAAATCTTCTTCTTAACATGCTTAAGAACCACTGGGCCAGGAAAGATGAAACTTATGTGAAATCATCCTCAGGTAGTGTACATTCAAGTTTGTTCAAGTCATGGCCCCTGGGGGTTGGGGGGGGCAAAATGGCTGATCAAAGTTCTACATAGGACTAGATAGGGAAATCTTTCAAAATCGTCTTCTCAAGTACTTCAAAGCTATGATTAGTGATATTTATGTGGAATCATCCTCAGGTAGTGTAGATTCTAGTTTGTTCAAATCATAACCCCCAGGGATAGGGTGGGCCACAGTGGGGGATCCAAGATTTACATTAAAAGATATATATAAAAAAATCTTCCAAAGAATAGCAAAGCTATGATTAGTAATACTAGTATTTATATGGAAGCATTATAGGGTAGTGTAGAATTAAATTTGTTCAAATCATAACCCCCAAGGGTAGGGTGGGGCCACAATGGTGGATCAAAGTTTTACATAGAAAAATAAAGGAAAAAATCCCAAGAACAGAAAAGCTATGTTTAGTCATATTGACATTTAAGCATCCTCATGTATTGAAGATTTAAATTTATTCAAATCATGGCCTTTGGGGTAGGGAGGGAAACAATGGGAATCAAATTCAAATTATTATGAAGTTATATATAGGAAGAAAATGTTTTTGAAAAATCTTTTTATTAAGAACAGCAAAATCATATGCTGTATTAATATGAAGACAATCTCAAGTAGTATTAAAATTCACCCCCCCCCTTTCAGTGAACTTCTCAGTTCTGATCTGATTTGTGCTTTTTCCTAGCCGATTTGCTCAGGTGAGCGATGTGGCCCCTGGGCCTCTTGTTCCTTAAGTCATATGACTTAAGTCAGATAACAAAATTACAAAATACAGGATGTAAAGCACAAAATGAATATACATAAATACTGCTTATCTGTTAATACTGCTTGTTGTATACAATATTTCCAACCAAACATAGAAAAAATACTAAGTTTACAGATGTAAATCTCTAAGTGCTTCTGCTTTTTGGAGGAATCGGTAGATGTTCAACATGACCACAGTGTAAATCTATATATAAAGTTCAAGTGAGTATATGCAAAATTTAAATACAGAGTGACAAGTTAGGACATACAATTAAATTTTGACATTTACTTATAGTATACCTCGAAAAACATGAAATATTGGCAATGTTGCTTTTACTTCCTAATCCTCTTCAGGAATTGATTGATTGATTGATTGTATCTTGTTCCACATATCATTCAAGAACTGTTTTTACTCGTATAGAGAAGCCACCATATACTGGTAAAGGGCCATCTATACTCGGCACTCAAAGCTATTCAGCTTTGACGTTTTTCTATTGTGCCAACTCCTTCCACCTCGGCTTCTAAAGTTTCATTCGAAACGCATCATGCGTCTGCTATATAATGTCTACCAATGTCGTCTAAATAGTTATTAACTGTATCATGTTTTTTTTTAAATTTCAGAAATTAACCTAGGCGTTGCCGTGGCTGTCCCGCTTACCTTACTAATTATTATAGGAGTAGGATCCTTTATACTCATAGTGCTTTGGTGAGAAGTTATTTTTGTTGTTTCATAAGATGACATAGTGAATTGATTTCAAAGGAAATAAAGTTATATATCCATACACAGTTAAGACTAAGCATTTACATAATTGGTGATTTTTTATTTTTTGATTGATCTGTGCATTTCTGTTACTTCATCAGAAATAGACTTTTGCTTTCTGAATGAATTGCTTTCTTAAGCATGTAAAGAACTCGGGTTTCCATACTTTCAGGAAAAAGCGGAGAAAGATCAGTATGACAAAGGGGCCTAATAAAATTCTCTTAGAAACGGAAGATTTGACCTATCTACATAAAAAGGAGGCAAAATCTGTCAAAGCAAGTATCTATAAATTGAAATTCTAGCTCGGTCAAGTCTGGGTCTTGATCAAGAGTACAACATTCGTGGTTATCAATATAATTGACCGTGTCAATAAGCACTGTATTCATAAGCAGAAATGAATTATAGATATGAGGGAAGTCAGACTCAATTGCATTAAACTCAGAAAAGAAAAAATATAAGGAAAGAAAATTGGCAAAAGTGGTTTGTTAACAAAGCGCAATGGTTATTTTGATGCTAAATAAGGAAATCATTTTTAGTTGATATATTTACATTTATTTGGATATTGAATCTCTTTCGTGTCAAATAATTTGTTCACTTTTTGCAGATTAACAGCGGTCCATTCCTTGACAAACCTGACCTAGTGAAAACCTCTGAGAAATCAAATCGCTCATTGGCCAGTCTTCACGAGTTTTCAGAGTTCTCAGAAATAGCAAAGTACAAGGTATTTAAGCAAAATACTGATGACTGAATGATAGATATAAAAAGTTTCAATTTACACTGTATTTTAGATGGGAAAAAAACGTTTTCTCATGTAAAAAAAATATATAAAGAAGTCTATTTTAAAGCTATACGTGCACAATTATGATATATCTACATTCCAAGACTTAGTGAATTGATTGATTTTCTAAATTTCTAAAAGAAAGTTTAATTATTGTTCATCGGTGAAATTGATAGATAACATCAATGCTTATAATGTCAGCAACGACTTAAATAAAAATCAATGTCATAAAAAGTGATCAGTGGATGAAGCAGTCTATTTAAAAAGTCAGTCAACTTTCGTCACAGAGACATTGACATTAGACACTTCTTATTTATGGCTTTTAAAAAATATTTTTTATCAAATGAAACCAAAAACTGTACATGCTAAAGAATATATATTTATCTTATTTGAGGTTTGAAAAGTAGGTACATCCATTTACTACTCAGCATATTATTCTTCAATGAATACAATAAGTTTCATATAAACATTTACTCAAATAAAAAATTATGGCATATTATGTTTAGATACATATATTCTATTGTTTTATGGAGCACGGATGTTAACCTAAAAATTAATTTTTGAATAATTTTTGTTTCCGTATGTTAGCGAAAAGGAAAACATTTATATGTTCTAGTCTCATTTTTAAGAAGTCAAATTAATATCCATATATGTAGTATGAATGTGGTATGAAGGATTTCAAAGTGCAATGGGACGCTTAAGTCAAGTGGTCTCGATAACACATGTATGATATTCCCGTCAAAAGACGAGGACTTTCACCGAATTTCTGTTGTTTGACACGCCAACATATTGAAATGTTCCTACCTTGCTGTTATTTTCTGTTGACATTACATTGACTTAAACATATAGTAGGGTGAAATGCTAACCCAAAGCTAGTGCACGAAGAATAAACCTTAACACTTTCATGGGTGCAAGACTAACCCTAAAGTCAAATTGAGTTTGAGTCTCTTGCGTGGGTGTGAGGCTTACCCAAAGTTTCCATTATTGTGCGAGATTAACATTCATATCGGGTTGGTGCATGCAAGAATCAACCATTATCAATCAAATAGTGCACAAGAACTAACCTTAATCTTTCGGGTGGATGAAACAATGGAGATAACGAACAGTATTAAAGATCAGAAGTCCATAAAACAATACAAAAATTAATAGGAGCAGAGCAAACACGGACATCTAAAACATCGGAGATGGGATCAGGTGCCATGGAGGAGTGAGCATCCACTACTGACAAGTCACATCCGCCGTGTGCTCCTTGTCATGATGGGGAAATAACGGAAACTCTGTCTCAATTTAGAGTATAAATAATGGACTAACAATAAGTATGAAAAACGTCAGTCAGCATTTGACTCAATGATAAATTGTATATGCTGACAAGGTCATTGTATCGACCATAGAACTTACGAAATGATGATTTTAAACGAGACTGCTGAAATTCTTGTTTCATTAAACTGTTTGTCAATAATTAACCTCGCTTAGAAGTTGTTCATATTATTAAAATTAGATGTTAGATCCGCTCGCACACTCGCTACACTGACATCTAACAATATCCCATTTAGGGTCACGTCAGAGGTCAAATTCTATCAACCAATTAAATCGTCACCTGCAAAATCATCGCATATTTGCTGAAGCGAATAAATCTAGAGTTGTTCCGAACTTAACTTCTGACGTGGTCCTCTGTGGGATGTTGTTAGATGTTAGTGTAGAGAGTATGCGAGTGGATCTTACATCTAATTTTATTAAGGTTGTCATACTTAGAGCATGCTCTTGCATATCGAATCAACTAAGATATATAAACTCCGTATGCAGGAGATGAAGGTATATTGCTGCATAAGTAAGGGAAGTTGACGATAGAAAACTTAAAGTCATCAACTTTTCATAAAGCTTGCATGGTTGTTAGATTACCATTAATGTCCTTTTCAAGTAAAATATCCAAATACGAAACAGATGCGTCAAATGCGAATCTTATATCTCTAGCTCACCAGGATATATCGTATTGACATAATAATGGAAATTATCATTGTTAATTGACAATACGTCGTCGATATATCTAAATGTCGAGTTGAAAGCCATATCAAGTGTTTTCATCTTTTCCCACATAAGATTTTGCACAAATTCTGCTTCATATGAGTACAAAAATAGGTCTGCTAATAATTGGACACAATTGGTATCCATGGGAATTCCAATAGATTGTTGGAAGACCTGGTCTCCAAAAACAACATAATATTGTCAATCAGAAACTCAATCATCTTTAAGATGTCAACTTCAGAGTACCTTTGTGTACAATCAGAATATTTAAAACAAAACAATTTTGCAAATGACCGATGACAAGGTAAGTAAATTTACGAGTTCCACTTTTATTGAAAAAGCAGCTGTCAATGATATCCTGGATTTTAATTTATCGTGGGAATGGTTGTGTATAATGTTGAAAAGTCGTAAGTTTTTAAGCTGTTGATTTTGGTGACATCTTGTGATTTCAAATTGTCTAATTGCATTTTATTATATTTCTAACCTTAATCGACTTATGTGTTGTAAAGTCATTGGAAATTATTATTATATCTTCCTTGTATTTCTAATGTCAGATATTTTTTTAGTTTTTTTTTTTTGTGTGTAAAATTTAACATTTCTTGGTTGATTCGATACACAAACGCATGCTCTACGAACGAAGACCATATTTTTAAATGAGATGACCTAGCGACAAACACGTTGATGAAACAAGGGTATCACCAGTCTCGTTAAAAGTCAATATTTTGCAAAATCTAAGGTCGATCCAATTACTAACGATCGAATGTTGACTGATGTTTTTCATATAAGATGTTTTGCCAATCATAACAAGTAGCGTAAGACGGGTGTGTTCGGTTAACACGGGATTCTTACTTACTAACATGAGACATGTATTTTAAGAGGAACGTGCACGCACGTGTTAGCTCTGCTTTCAATTTGCATAGTTTTAAAAGATTTTTTAGTTTGATTACTGCTCATCATATTTTTATACCAATAAAATACCGGGGGTATTCCTACTGTTTTATGGTATCTGCAAGTCTGTATTTTCTTATATATTCTAACGAAATTCTTTAGTTTTTAATAAATATTGCAATGTAACAACATTTGAATAATGAAGATTTAAGCACATGTGGCCTGTAATTTTGTTTTTGGAATAACGTGATGATTATAGTGAGTGAGAAGAAATAATTATACTGAAAATAATTTATTTCTTCTTAAGAGAGATAGATTTATTGATCTCAAATGTATGAGATTATATCCTACCGGAAAAAAACTGATAGGGTCATATAAAGAAAATCCTCTTACTGTAATAACTTGTTGATTACCGACAGAAATAAAAAAAAAATCTTTATATCTGCAGGGTAGTTCTTTGTTATATATACTTACGTTTTTGACTGAATTATTTACATAATGAAACTAATAACATTCATTTTGATAACTGTAAATTGTTAACACTATCTACTTTTTTATAATGATTATATTTCATGAATTTTAATTATCAATGGATTTTCAAGAGTATTCCCTTTAAGAGAACTGTAACAAAAGAAAACATTTGTTTATTTTGATAATTTGAAGTTATAAAAGAAGAATAGGAAACGTTTGAAGAGAATATTTAACTTTCTATTAACCAATGTCATGAATATTAAAAATATACTTATTTATTACATACTTAGTAATAAATACAGGATTTTTGCATATGCGATATGCCTGACAGCCCTGCTTGGCTGATATTGATTTGCGGGGCTGATACGGATCAATATCACACCCCTAGAAAATTTAATTTAAAAAACAGTTAAATTAAAGTGGTGTGTGACCAAACAGTACTTGTGGTCATACACATATTTTGGGTTTACAACAATTTTAACTTTCTGAATGTAAGGATAATCTAATTGACAAATAAAAGATTATATTTTCAAATTACGGATCGGGTACATTTGAAATAGAAGTAGAAACAAACCCAAACTGTAAGAGACAATAGACCGTGTACATGTAAGAAGTCCATGCATGATTATTGTCAGACTTATTTTCTTCTCAACTTAATGTGTACTGTATTTTATAACTAAGTATGCGTTCGGCTCTCTGACTGATATTGGTGTCTCGGGCTGATATAGGATGTGATATGGAAAAGGGTATGTATTATTCTCTATGTATAAGACTTGATATATTTTTCAGGGGGATGTAGTCTTTGTGAAGGAGATCAAAGTAAAGGGATTTGAAATAAAAGGCAAACTGTTGTCATACATACGCACGGTAAGCATTGAAATTCAATTAAAAATCAACTAGTGTAAAACAAAAGTTTCCATAGGTCTTATTGCTCACCTGAGTCACATATTGGAACATTATGTCAGACATTTTGGGTACTTTTTTATTATGATTTTTGTCTAACATAGTATGCGATTTTAATTTTTCACAGGTATTACATGTAAAGCTCTAATTTACTCCAAATGGTCTTTGTGTGAAAAACAATTAATGCACTTCTTAATTGCACGTTTCATTTGGGAAACATGAACCTTTTATTCGCATGCACTCTTGCCTAGGGACATGACCTTAAATTGAAGAAATGAATTTCTTTCACCCTTGTGTTACATTGAGAGAAAGATTGGTTGCAATAAGCCGAGGGCTTCTAAAGAAATCGAAAAATGCGAAACGTTTACATCAAATTACAGTTTAGGGACAAAAATTACAGCAATGACTAATAACAACATAGAAACCATTTTATATTTCCAAGACATTAGTGTGTGTTTCATTCAGCTGTATTTTATTTTGAGTGGATTTTTTTTATTGTATGTTTGTTTTTGTAAATAATTAATCGAAACAAAAAAAATACTGTCCTCGTCTAGACAAGAATTTAAAAATCTGTCCCTGACCAGTGCTATTACCCCCATCCGTGCCCCTACGAATGTATGATTTATGGTAAGCCACCATAAGAATTAGAGTTTTGGACTTTGTTTTTATCCTTTTTATTTTCTTTTCTTTTTTTTTTTTTTTGTCAAACTTTTTTCAGTAAAGAAGAAAATAAATAATCTGTCCTTGATCTTATTGGAATTGAATAATCTGTCTTTCATCAATATGAAAACATTCTATCTCGGAACCCCCCCCCCCCCCCCTCACCCAAGCTCCCTCAGAATCAAATCGTCGTCCCCTAATACAAGGTAACATCACCAAAATCGTTAAAAGCACTGGTATACATCAAAAAAGTAAATGTAAAGAGTGACAACATAAAATAGCTCTTATAAACGTTCATTATGATTTAACTTAATTGTATAAAACAATTTGTATGCCAAGAGTAAGATGATGCCTCCTTTCTGAAAAATATTTACTGTAAATGTATAAAAGCATAAAAGCAAATTTCCTGAAATACTTCTTTCTCGCTTAGAAGCGCGTTAGTTACTAGAATAATATCCAAAGAGAGAAGTTTCTGACGTTAATTGGTGCTGCTGAATTTGTAAGCACACAATAGAGATGGTCTCTAAAACAGAGCACAGACAGTCGTAAACAACTTTTTTCCATTATAAAACTATATAAGTATCCATAGCTGTTGAACTGCTGCGTAAACAATCTAGTCCCAGTTGTGTTCAACAGACATTGTCACACTGTTATTTATTTTCAAATTGGTTTTAATACTTATTATACTGATTGTGCCAAAATGAAGTTAGTGATTTGTTATATTTTTAGTTCCACAAATATCTTTCAAAAGATTTATTTTTTTTAGTGAATTTTATATTTGTTATCCCTAAGCAAACAAGGTTATAAAGCAAACATTGTTATTTTTCATTTATGATGAGATTTTCAAAAACTGTTTAAGGTTGAATCAAGTTGAATAAAAAAAGAACCGTATCATTCTGAATCGAGACCAAATCGAATCGATTGAACACTGAAAAGTCCTAGCCTTCATGTCTTTTTCAGTTCGTGAGCCCTTGTATTGGTCAGGTACAGAAAGTTATTCGTTAAAATTTAAAGTAAAAACAATAACCTAACAAATCATTTGAAACACATTAGACAAAATACGATTCATTGATAGCTGAATTTAAAAACAAGGTCATGTATTTACATAGAATCTGCGAAAAGTTAACTTTAGATGGGCTAGTGAAATCTCTGTAGCATCAAGTTATTTGTCAGAAGTTTATCTGGTTCAAAAATTGTTTGACTGTATATCGACCTTTGCGTATCAAAACAGTTTTGAAGCATTAACACTATTTGCAGGGGATGTTTGTTTATTTAACGTCCCATCAAGAATTTACTACACATGAAGAATTACTGATAGAATGCTGCAAATTTAGAACTGTAGCCAGTACATGGGGCCTTTCAGCAATTAGGGATCTTTTTTGTACCAGCATCTGTTGCGACACGGAACCTCGGCTTGAAGACTCGGTCTCTCCGTCTCGCAGTGGAATTCGAACCCGCGACGTAAGAATCAGCTACGTATAGAACAAACGTTCTAACCAATGCGCAACCCGAGCAGATGTGATGCTGGAATATAGCTAAATAAATAAGAGGTTGATCATGAAAAAGTTGACGTAATCCTTTTTGTCATAAAAATTTAGGCAATTACCGTTGATAACTGTCGCCTGCATGGCGCAGTGGATAGAGCGTCTGCTCTAGAGTCGCGAAGTAAGGAGTTGATCCTTACGTCGCGGGTTCGAATCTCACAAGGGTGCTGGTACGAAAAATATTCTTCCCTGCTCAACGGCCCGAAGTGCTGAGTATAAGACAAAATTCGCAGCTCTATATCGGTAAGTGGTTGCGTCTCCATATGAGTAAAACATTCTCGAGAGGGACGTTATGCAGCATACAAACAAACAAACCAGTAAATCGACTATTGTAGCTCATTTTTAGCTCTACTGGTCAGAGACCAGAAGAGCTTATGCGATAGTAAGGTGTCCGTCGTCCGTCCGTCTGTCTGTCTGTCCGTCTGTAAACAATTTTTCAAAACGCTACTCCTCCTACAGTTTTGGTCTGATTTCAATATAACTTGGCACACAAGTAGACTACACTAAGATACATAAAATAGTGCATCGGTTTTTGATTTCGATGAACGGTGTTGCTATGGTTACTAAAAATAGAATTTTCTTTGAAATTCCTTTAAAACGCTACTCCTCCTACAGTTTTGGTCTGATTTCAATATTACTTGGCACACAAGTAGACTACACTAAGATACATAAAATAGTGCATCGGTTTTTGATTTCGATGAAGGGTGTTGCCATGGTTACTAAAAATAGAATTTTCTTTGAAATTTCTTTAAAACGCTACTCCTCCTACAGTTTTGATTTGATTTCCATATTACTTGGCACACAAGTAGACTACACTAAGATACATAAAATAGTGCATCGGTTTTTGATTTCGATGAACGGTGTTGCCATGGTTACTAAAAATAGAATTTTCTTTGAAATTCCTTTAAAATGCTACTCCTCCTACAGTTTTGATTTGATTTCAATATTACTTGGCACACAAGTAGACTATACTAAGATACATTAAATAGTGCATTGGTTTTTGATTTCGATGAACAGTGTTGCCATGGTTACTAATAATAGAATTTTCTTTGAAATTCCTTTAAAATGCTACTCCTCCTACAGTTTTGATTTGATTTCAATATTACCTGGCACACAAGTAGACTATACTAAGATACATTAAATGGTGCATCGGTTTTTGATTTCGTTGAACGGTGTTGCCATGGTTACTAAAAATAGAATTTTCTTAGAAATTCCTTTAAAATGCTCCTCCTTTTACAGTTTTGGTCTGATTTCAATATTACATAACACACAAGTAGACTACACTAAGATACATAAAATAGTGCATTTGTTTTTTATTTTGATGAACGGTGTTGCCATGGTTGCTGAAAATAGAATTTTCTTTGAAATTTCTTTAAAACGCTACTCCTCCTACAGTTTTGATTTGATTTCAATATTACTTGGCACACAAGTAGACTATACTAAGATATATAAAATAGTGCATTGGATTTTACTTTCGATGAACGATGTTGCCATGGTTACTCAAAATTGAATTTTCTTTGAAATTCCTTTAAAACGCTAGTCATCCTACAGTTTTGGTCTGATTGCAATGGCTTCTTTTCTCATCCTTTGTTATAAGTACAAACCAGTAGAGCTACAGTCTCGACAGAGACTTCTGGTTTCTATCTACTTTGTCACATAGGAGGAGAGCAAATGATTTTGAATTTTGGAAATTTAAATGAAGAATAAATAAAGATACTTTACCATGGTTCATAACGATAGTGTATAATGTATCACACGTCTAAAAAATTGTTTAGTATCATGAACAAATCAGACAATGTTTTTTTTAGACAAAGTTTTTTAAGCCCTGTTATTTTTTGAAATGGAGTTAAGCATTCAAACAACAAAATTACGCTTTAACTATGTAGGAACCTTATAATGAACCTTCGCTAAGAACGCCGTATTTGTGTGAAATGTTCAGAAAATTCAATAAACCTCTGAAGCTGATTGGTTATAAAGTAGACTGCACATTTATCTCCAGAAATTGCAGGTTACAAATGTTATTGAGTGACCAATTATGTGATATTCCAAAGTAATTTAGGTGAATGAATCAAACATTTTCTGTCTTTTTTCATCGATATTCCATTAATAAAACCAATAAATAAACTTTATCAGTTGTGAAGGTTAGTGATGGGTTGAAAATGTTCCCGGTACAAAGCTATGTGTTTTCTAGTTTTTAACTACAATGTCTACAGTAAGTTCATGCTTGGGTTAAAATAACACATTGTCTGCTTATTTTCCCTAACATTTTTCTATTAACAATTTCCCATTTATTATACTTTGTTTGAATGGTGCCTTTTGAGAAAAGCAAATATATATTTGAATTTCATAACATGGAGCACAGTGGCATCATAAAATTTGAGGTCATTTGGTTCTTTGCCATTTTCTCTTTGCGGAAATTGAGCATGCAATCTTTGATAATATGGTGTATATTAATTAGCAAAAAGTTTGCTTTCATCACGAAAGTGCAATCTCACCTGCCAATTTACCAAAACAGGGAAAGCATTAATTTTTCAGCGAAGCAGGATGATGTTTTATTTTCATTTTCATTCTGGGAATTTCTACAGCTAAGTAAACTACAAACATTATCAAATACTAAGTATTAGGTTTCAAAATATTTAGATGAAAATTTCATAGATAAAAAAATATTATATCATCATTTTTCTTTGGCAATAAATTACATGTGTGTAAAATTATTCCAAATTGCCGTATTGTTCCTTCTAATGCTCTGCCTGTATTTCACCCATCAGAATCCATTTAACCACAATAAGCTGTAGTTACAGAGTATATTTCCTTGTTAAAGGAACCTATTGAATTAAACACTCTCTGGAAAAGAATGAAACCTGATTCTCACAATCGATCCATGAATTCACTTTCAATGTACCTCCGCAATCAAGGGTATGACTTCGTTCTACCAAATTCATCAGAAGTCGAGGCGTGAGCGGATTTTTAATTACATTGTTCATCCTTTAGTTATTCTTCATTTGCAGTTGCGAGACATACGCCACGAGAACGTGAATCCGCTATATGGCTTCCTCATTGATCCTTTGAGACCAGCTCTTGTCTCCGAGTACTGCAGCCGCGGGAGTCTTTGGGTAAGAGACTGGTTCCTGGGACCATAAATGACAAGTAGACATGTTAATTTGTGCCAAGATTTGGACAGAAAATGACAAAAGTGTTAACCAGCTGTTAAGAAAGAGTAGTACTTGAAAAGATTTACTTTTTGTTACAGCTCTGCTACTTAAAGATTGTTTTGTAGTACATTGTAGTGGATATTTTTTCCTCGATCATGAATGTATTATAACCAAAATTGTAATTTGATCATTAAGATATATATGACAAGATTTTTCCAATAAGAAAATTATACATAGTTCTTACATCTTATCTATATTTCACATTTCGACAAGATGAAGATTAATTTAACAGGAGAAATGTTTTCTTCTTAAATTTTAAGAATGAACCTGAAAATAAAAGCAAAATTGTTTTAATTTCTCCCTGTTCAACTATTTTACGTTGGTTGAATTAGGTGAAACGTAACTTAAATGATGATCTGAATTTCTTGCAAGATTCCCTTTAGTGATATATATGCAATAGCAATGCGAGGTTTTATATTCCGTAGCTGAAACGATATTTTCTTTTAGATATTTCAGTCAAGATAAGTTGATTACTGAAATCTAGAAACGGAAAATCTCTAATCCCTAAAATAATTACTTTCCTACCACTAGCAGTCTTTGATATATCATGATATATCAATGTATTTACGACTTAATCTATGTTCTTTTACAGGATGTCCTGAAGAACGAAAATATCAAGCTAGACTGGGACTTCAAGGTGTCTTTATTATCAGACGCGGTCAGGGTGAGTGGAAGCTTCTTCAAGCCAACAGGAGGCAGGGTTGATGATTTATTACTATTATTACTATTGTTATATGGGCATAATAGGTCTTCCAATATGATTTACAAATATGGTTTTGCTTTTTTATTTAATCATTTTGATTTTTTCAATCTTCTAAGACAAAAACTTCTTTAAGGTTGTGACGTATTAATGAATTGAGACGTCTCCTAGCCAGTTAATATATATTTTTATGCACCTAAAAATCAAAATTAGACAAACTTTATAATAAAATTTTGATCAAATCAAATCATAAACTTGGTATAACAAAATTGGATTTCAAAATGTTGATATGCAAATTACAGTTTCCTTATACAAAAATGGATTAAACATTATAAAATTGTTAATACAGTTCCATTGTATCAAAATGGATGCTACAATGTAAATTTGCAAATTTTGTCAATGCAAAGGAACATCAGTAATCCGCAAACATTCACATATAAAATCAAAAGAGTAGAATAATACAAAAATTACAAGAAACAAAATATCTGCTTGATATCCACAAAAATGCATAACATAATGAATATCTATAAAGCATGTATCAAAAAGTCTCAGATAAGTGTATTTACACAAAGATGGACTAGTGGCAGCAGGTGGGGTAAAAAAGCACCACCTAAAAATGACTAGAATCTAAAAAGAAAAACAAAACCTGTAAAACCCAGTTAATATATATTTTTATAACCTAAAAAATGGAACTTTTTTCTACTTCTATAATAAAAGACTCTCAATAGCATGTTCGTAAAAAGTAAAATTATTTTATTTATAACATCAAAACCTGAATACAGCAAAGAATTCACTCTAAGAGAACATTTTTGCCAAATGGCAAAGCATGTGCTTTAACCATTGTCATAAATCAATATCAAAAGTTTTCTTTCTCAGATAATGCAATCTAAGAAATAAGTATTATTTAAATTGCATATCTTTTGGTGTAAATAAAACAAAACCAACAGAGAGCTTAATTTAGAAGTCCCTTTTGAATAGCTAAACAATATTCTTATTTTAAAAAAGTAAATACAGAGAATTATATGTACTGTGTATTTAATTGAAGCAGGAAACTTCATTTATTTTTCACATGTTTTGATGCCATGCAATAAACAGATCGAGATGGATACCCTGTTATCTTATTCACACTGAAAGTCCCCTAGTAGGGTTTCAAATTTTTTACTCAGTGTCTAAAAGCAGATGGTATCTGTAATAACAAGGATGTAATTCGCTCAGCGTAAGCGTTATCTAATGTTATTGAGCTTAGCAAATCCATATAATTTTGTTACATTTCTTTTTAAACATTCAAATAAAAGTGAAAATTAGGATAATGAACATGAATTATGGGTTTGGATTACTAATAAAATTAAAGAAATAAATTTTTCAACGACATTCAAGAAATCTTTGATGCTGCCGATAAAAAGGGTGAATATAATTACCTAGGCTGCATTACTCGGCGTAATAAAGGTTTTTAGTTTAACGATTTTGCTCTATATCGGTGTTTTGTTAAATGATGATTATCTTTCCAACAGTTGTTTGTTTTTCACTTTTCTCTGTTGCAAAATGCTGCCTACGAATAAAAAATGATATTGATAATTAAACAGAATTTTATTCTCTTGTACACAAATATTAGTAATGGTAATAAAACAATTCTTATCATTTAAATGTGTTTAATCTAGATCTCTTTCTCGATATTCTCTTGAAGGAAAGGGTGACAAAATGAAAGTACTTTTGCCGTACATAAAACAAGCATCGTGGAAATGAAATGAGCTAAAATTGTATTAAGATCAATTCTTGTCAAATAAAATAATATATTCATATTTGATTCAAATATTTGAAATATTCAGCAGTTTTCAATATATTAAATAAAATTAAAATACGATTGGGATGAGTATCATTCAAAAGGATACAGAATTTTCATGGAGATGATGCGGCATTCAATGATTCTGTCTACTATGATAAAAACAACATGTAAGATTTTAAATGCCAAATTTCTCTGAAATTTTTTTTGTAAAGGGACTAAGATTCATCCAAAACTCCACCATTCGGTACCATGGAAATTTGAAGTCCCGGAACTGTGTCATTGATAGTCGTTGGGTGTTGAAGCTATCGGATTTTGGAATGCCAGGGTTTAGAGAATGTGCCAAAATGACAGCCAACTACGATGTAGAACGTGCGTTCGAGAACTTTTATTTATTTAAACACACATTTTACAGAAAAGCATACTGCATTCGGTTTCCAATTTATCCGCTTTAAAGGTTTTTAGAGGAGAGCTAAAAGGGAATAACATGATTTGTTACAGGTTCATAGGAACGTTTATCAGAATGAGTTCATGTATTTTAAAATGCTCTTTATTTGCTGATGACTTTGAGATAACACTTCATAATCTAGCACAAGGATCACAATGAATACAGTAGTTAAGTGCTAATTAGTCTTTCATTGATTTTAGAGTTGCTCTGGACGGCTCCAGAACATTTACGGGACCCATTTCCAGGAATGAAAGGTTCTGAGAAGGGCGATATTTATAGCCTTTCTATTATAACACAGGAAGTAATATTAAGACAGGAACCATATGCAATGCTGGAATATAAAACAAAAGGTACAAAGTAAATGCCAAAATATATAAATCATATCACCCCAAAAGCAATCAATGTTCTGAAACCGTCTTCAGGATACATTTGATTTTTATTTTTATAGAACTAATACAAAGACTAAGGAATCCTCCACCCCTTACCCGTCCAAAAGTTTCCCCACAAGCAGCGCAGCCACAATATATCATGTTAATGAAACAGTGTTGGTCAGAAAACCCCGACCTCAGGCCCTCAATAGAGGACATCTACCAACAGTACAAATCGATTAGTGGGGGAAAGTATGGACTAGTTTCTGTTTTAAAATAATATTTTTTAAAAAAATGAAAAATAGTAATTCAAAATGGTAATTCAACTTACAGTACTTATCTTTGGTTGTTTTCTGGTTCCAGAAAAACAAACATTGTCGACTCTATGTTTCGGATGTTGGAAAAGTATTCAAATGATTTGGAGGATATAGTGAAAGAACGAACAATCCAATTAGAGGAGGAAAAGAAAAAGACTGACCTCCTTCTTTTTAGAATGTTACCTCCGTAAGAAAAAAATCACAGCATATAGAAAATTTGTTGATGGTCAATGCAGTAATTGATGCAAGTTATGTATACCTCCTTCTTTGTAGGACTGTGGCTGAAAAACTCAAGTTAGGGCGGCCTATAGAGGCAGAGGAATTTGCCGAGGTGACAATTTACTTCAGCGACATCGTTGGATTTACAACGATATCAGCAAGAAGTACACCAATGCAAGTCGTAGACCTTTTAAATGATCTCTACACGATGTTCGATGGGACCATAGACAATTATGATGTCTACAAGGTATCAGCAATATTATCTTATATCATACCATGCATGAAAACAAAGATCAATACACCCGGAGTTTATGTTAAGAAAATAATAATTTTGATATTCTTTTTTCCCCCTGCTTTTTATTACCGTAAACCATTGGATAAAAGTACTACAAAATCAATTCATATTCATTCCGTTAAATGCAATTACAGGTGGAAACCATTGGAGACGCCTACATGGTTGTGAGTGGTATTCCAGTGCCAAATGGAAATCGTCATGCCGGTGAAATCGGTACAATGGCGCTCGATCTTCTCAGTCAGTGCGGGACTTTCACTATACGTCACATGCCGGAAGTTCCTTTACGGCTACGCATTGGCCTTCATTCTGGTAAATAGACTTTCTTCATTGAAAAAACTCTTCTCTGTATTTTCTTTATTCACCATCATTTAAGCATTTCTCACTGAGTTTCAATCTTATTTTTCTTTTTCATGATTTTGATTGGCAACCAGTACATGTAAACATTGTCTTTATATCAAGAAATGGTTATTCCAGAATTTAAACTACAGTTTGATAATAATGTATTAGGTACATGTGTAGCAGGAGTTGTCGGACTCACTATGCCAAGATACTGTCTCTTTGGAGACACGGTTAATACGGCTTCCAGAATGGAATCTACGGGTGCTGGTAAGTTGTAGAAGTATGTAAATCTCAGAAGGCCAGCTTCAGTCACCATCTAGTTTCAAATGTTGTGATTAAAAGATAAAATTCAAGTTTCACTGTTTCTGAGATTAATAAGAGTTGTTCTATCCATATCTTAGCATTTAGGATACATATCAGTCAGGCGACAAAACTTGTTCTAGATGGACTTGGAGGATATATCATAGAATACAGAGGAGAAGTGGAATTAAAGGTATTCTATCTTGTATAATACCAGTTTATTTGCAACTATTAAGTGTCGTAATTTTCTAGTTAACATTTTCATATTCCGTGAATTAACAAAAAACATCAACTTAATTTGTAGGGCAAAGGAATGGCCAAGACGTACTGGTTGATCGGAAAAGATGGGTTTATTAAACCTCTTCCGGAGCCACCGCCATTAAATGAGTAAGTCAAGGCTAAATAGTTTACAGCAGTTTCACTAAGAACAAATACACATGTAACTTTAGTTTATGGAGTTTTTTTCCTTGTTTTACATTATAAGAATTCTAGGAGTCTTCACAAAAGTATATAACAATATACGAATGTACATGTATATAGTTTTCATAAAATAATATATGAAATTAAAAAAAAGGATCAAAGTAGCCATTGAAGGATAATATGTACAGTAGGTAAAATTTTAACCATCAAATATTCATTTTCTGATACTCGTGTCTGCTTTCCGGAAATCTGCTAGGTATCTGGATACCAACAAACACATCTGTTATTTTTTCAAATTTTTCTATGAATTTCTTACACGCCAACAGTGGATGTAATCACGGGTAAGTGTACTAATTTGATGTTATTCATAACACTGAGTTTCAATCTTACACAAATTATAGTTCAAATCATACACATGTACATGTTGTTTTTAAAATCATAGACTAGATTCGATTCTAAATCCTGTTGCATCCTCGACGGCGGACCTAAAAGAAAGCACTGCTTCAAGCGAAAGTGATGGTCTTAAAAGTATATCTCCCTCAAAAGTTTCTCACAAAGAACGCAATAGTTCAGCAACGAAGGAAAAGTCCAGCAAACCAAAAGGGCCTTCTCATAAAGGAAAACCTCTGAATGATAATTTCTCAAACATTAACGAGGTTTCTCATAATAAACAAGAAGACCATTCTGATATCTCTCATTCGCTGGATAACAAGCCACTCGGAAATTCAGTCAATCATAGCAATTCTCTTTCTTCATTCAAGAAAGATAATATGCATGATCATAAGAAAAGTAGCAATTATCGTATGAGTAAGTATTCAAATGCGATGGCGGATAAGATCAATACGGAACCCAGTGCGGTGTCTACATCAGAACTTCATATGACTGTCCTCTCAAAGCATGACGACAAAGTAACAAAAAAGTTATCCCCAGTCGCAGAAGTCTAGAGGATCGAGTCCAGTTTGATAACTATTGATGGGAAATATAAATGATCTCAAAACTCGTATGAGAGGTATTTGATTAATGATGCTTGTAAACTTAATCGACTCTGAATAGCATTAATTTATTGTCTTATTGACCTCCTTTGTATACACCTTTTTTACGGGCTTATATATGTATATGATATATTTTGGTGCCTGGTTAAGTGTTTTAATTTGTCTGCTTAAAAGTTCTTTGTAACCAAGGATTTAGGAGGAAAAGCTCTTTGCATTGAATTTAGTTAAAGTTTGACATGAAAATTATTACTTGTAATTGAGCAGAGAAAAAGTGAAAGAAAACCTGACAATTTCTGAAAGAAAGTTTATGTAGCAATTTCAAAAAATGCTCTTTTACTCTTGTATCTGTCCTTCACATTGAATTTTATTTACGAGGAGCACACGGCGGATGTGACCAGTCGGCAGGTGATGCTCACTCCTCCATGGCATCTGATCTCACCTCTAATGTTTTGGAGATCTTTGTTTGCTCTGCTCCTATTTCATATTGTTTTATGGACCTTTGATCTTGAATACTGTTCGTAATTTCCCATTGTTTCATTTAATAAAATACACTGCAAAAGATCGGATGATTTTGAATAGAAACAGTTGACTTAATATACTTGTTTATTTCCGAGGGTTGTCCAGTAAAAATCGTGGGTAAAATGTTTAACGTGAACATTAATCAACGCTGCCTTTTACGATTTTTCTGAATCTTTAGTTCATTTTTATCAAAAACATAGCAAATTTCAAAAGCTGCTAAAAACTGGGTATACCCAGTTTAAATTATGGGAATTCTAATGAAGCAACAGATTCTCCCTTTTAATGATTTAAAAGACAACCTTTTCTCAACAGTCTGCAGAAAGAATCTTTCGTTACTGCTTGTGGCAGATTGTCTGTATGTTCCACTTTGACGGTTTCATCAATAAGCTTCTATTTTCGCTAAAAAAAAAAAAAAAAAAAAAAAAAAAAACCCAATCTTCTTAAATAGAAAAGTATTTGTGAAAAGAGAGAAGATAACGAACAATGTTTAAATAAACAAATCCTTTAACATAACAAATGTATGAAGAAGGCATAAACATGGACCCCTAGTATATAGATATAAAACCAAAGATATCTATATACCTTTTATAACACGGTATGAGAAGATATTTGATGCTGGTTGGCCTAAAATGCACAGTAGCAATCGTGTGGATACTTGCCAATAACCTAGTGATATTTCATGTTATTTATATCATAGTAGTGTATTTAGATGCTTTTTATAAAAATGACATATTCAGGACTTTTTTGTGTATTTATGTTTTAATATGAGGGTAAGAATTGTCTTTAGTTTTAATTCTCTTAAAAATTTAAGTGTGTTTTAGCTTATTTGTTTAACAACTTTATCAATATTGTTTAAAAGATCACAATGGCTTTGATAAATAAATATATTAATTCACTATCAAATAAAAGATAAATATATATAAGTAAGTTCAATAATATTTTTGTATCATTTTATATACGACTGATACAATTTGTAGCCAAGTCTTTCATCTTTCTGTCTATTTTTAGTGTTGCGCATAAATATTCAATATAATAACATTGTTATACATTAACTGTTATTTAAATAAAATATGAAACCATAGAGGTATGTTGGTTTTATTGTACAGTGTATTTATTATTGAATATCAATCGATCTAACCCCCTGGAAAGTTAATTTTGTTTTTCAATGCTGAGCTGAGCTGTTGCAAATCTCTTTTTATTCTATAAATCTTTATTTGTGCGTAATTATGTGCCAGTGATTGGGATAAGCTAGGGAGTAAATGTGACAATGGCACACTCCAAGTCAGTGTCAATGTGACATTTCAAAATTCAATGCGCCAAACAGACTTTTTAATGGGTCATTTCCTAGCTACAAACTTGCAACTGATTAGTTGCTGTTAGAATTTCAGCTGACTTTACTTCATTGAAATTGTCAAATTATTGCAGTGGCGGATCCAGAGGGGGGGTTACGGGGGTTGCAACCCCCCCTTTGGATTTGCAAAAAAGAAAGAGAAATAAGAAAGTTCCAATTTTGTTGTTGTGTTTTTACTATAGAAAATGTAAGGTGAAAGGCTAATGTTGTAATATATTAAGATATTCGGTTGTAAAAACAAAATAAAACCCCATCCCTTTACAAAATAGGATTTTCAGGTTCTGAGATCTAGATTTATTTTCTTTTCTTTTTCAAAAACTTTCTGGTAATGTATACAAGTACTTTTTCCCAGATTGATCAGCGTCCCACTTTCAAAAACCATACACCACCCTGTATCGATATTCTATTGAGTTATATAACTATATGTATGTGTACAACGTACGTTTTAGCTGTTTTCGCCTTCAACCCCCCCCCCTTTTGAAAAATACTTCAACCCCCCCCCCCTTTGAAAAATTTCTGGATCCGCGCCTGTATTGAATGACAACATTAAAAGATACAAAATTCGTATATTTAAATTCGCAAGTGTCAGAAAATAAATAAACACTGCAAAATTATTTCAATTCTTTATTTTTTATCTACGATGTTTGACTTCTTTAAAATGACTTAAAGCCATATACTGCTTCCCTCCAATTCATGTTAAATTTTCGTTTTTGATTTTTCCTCCGAGACTACATCATCAGTCTTACCGTCAGATTCATCTCCATTCGTTCTGTCAGCATGTTATACTTCTTCCGTCAAAGTTCCGAGTCATTTTCTATGGATTTACTTGAATTCTGTTTGTTAGGATTGTTAAAATTAAGAAAAGTCTGCCCTTTATCGGTACGAAGTATTTTCTTAGGCAGCATGCTGCACGCCTGACACCAGTTTATTTCGTGCGCATTAGCCAATCAGAAAACACGTAACTGTTTGATTAGATACTGGAGAAAAGAAAGTCATAAGAACGCTTTAATTGAACGACATTACATACTATTTTATCAAGCGTAAATTGACAGCGATTGTTTTGGGAAATGCTATATACAAGCGCTTGGGGGAAAGCTCAAAGTGTATGTACTGCATGATTATATATGCGCCACGATGGCGCAGCGTTTTTAATTTTAATGTGACATTTTAAAATTTAATGCGACTATGGCGCAGGGCGCGTGCTTATCCCAATCACTGATGTGCTACGGTCTGCTCGCAAAAACATTCACTGGAGATGATGTATAATTTATATTTTAGCATAGACTATATACAACATTAAATAAACTATAGTAATCCCTATAAATTTTGTTTTGCTATAATAAAAAAAAAAAAAAAAAAAAACACGTGAAACGGTACCTACATGCATCTCACGAAAATAATGTGTCGCGAAAAGAAGCGTACTGTGTCGGGTAATCTGCAAGAACCATTAGTACAAATTGCATATAAATTAGATACACTGAATTTATTAAGCTCTAAGGTGTCAAATTCATCAGATGTATAGACATTAGAAATACAGCTCACCGTAAACAAGAATACTGTATAGAATACTGTATAGAGTAACACTGAGCGAATATTTCTTTATCTTCAAAAAGCGTGATATACTGAGGTATAGTTCTGCGTGAATTCGTTTTAGTTACAAAGATTTCCTTTTTAAATGTCAAGAATGAACTTGACTTATTTAAAGAAAGATAATATTGAAGGATAGTAGCCTCGAAAAAAAGTAATTTTTGTATAACAAGTTAGCGGTCTAATAAAGTGAAGGTTTTTTTTAACTATGACAGTTTAAGATACTGAGTATAAACATGAACAAGGTTGTCAAAATAATGTTTCCATACTTTTAATAGATTTTTTTCTACTTAATTTCATGGGATTTAATTTTCGTTGTTTTCGAGGTATGGAGAGACGAACTTATGACCACCACCAAATGTCAAATTTCAAGTCCATTATTGCTAAACATTTTCCAACCACAAAATCAAATCACAAACCTGTATTTTTTCTCAAACCTCGAAAACTTGACCCCACAAAAATATGTGATTTTACAATATTTTCATCATTTTGAAGATCATAACCAATATCATAATTCAATTTATGGGCAGTTTCGACCTTAATCAATTCAGGACCAAAGTTCATGCAAAATCGGTGCTTAGACGTGAAATTGTAGCTATCTTAGAAGGGAAATTCAAAATAGCAATTTTTTTCGGTAGAAAATAACCAGTTGATTTTATTTTGTTATGTGATTTTTTCGGGAAATTGTTCTCTCCTATAGGTCAAATTCTTTTGAAAATACGAATACATACTTTGAGTGAAATTGATAAGAATTGTTCTGTCTCCCTTACTACATGGTCAATGTTCTTTGTTTTAATATTCTTCTGTTTTTCTATGTGGCCTTTTAGTGTATCTGAAAATTAAAAAAATATTAATATTTGAAACAAACAAAAAAATTCAGCTAAGTGTGTGCATTATTTTTCAATAGAAATGCTGAACAATGAAATGTTCCTTTACTTACTTTGCCCCAAATAGCATAATATGTAGGACAAGAATTCTCAGCGCCGAAATAAAAATTTAAAAAGTAAATAGCCAATCAAATTGAGAGAGAAATTCATTCTTTTGACCAACTTTTTGTCATAAATTAAGGGGTTTTTTTTGTTTTGTAAAAATACTCCCCTAACACATTGATCTATACTTAATTCTTTCATTTTATGTTATTCGTATTAAATGTTAAATCAAACTGAAGGGAGCGACACAAGACAGCAATATAAAGCATGTTGTAGACTTCTATCTCCCCTGATTCACTGACGTGAAAGCTAATTTGATGTGAATCAACGCAGGGAATCAGTTAACAGCTAACCATTTATATAGCAAGTTTTGACATACGAACCATTATTTTACTGCTAGAATACATTATAATAGCGTGAATTTTTCTATTTAATGGAGAATGATAAACGAAATTCGTTTCTGTTGACACAGCAAACCATGATGGATGCCTGTAATCTGTGAATGACTGCACTGTCGTCCAATAACATTGATCATCAATTAAGACAAATTGCCCGACAGTGCCTGCAAAATACAATACATCATTTTTACATGAACAAACAAAACCAAACCTTTTTTCATTATTTTTTTGACCAAAAAAGAACAGTCCTTTTGGGCACAGAACTCCCACTTCTTAAAAACGAGAATCTGGTTTTCTGTCTTAGTAAGCCTATTTTGTTTCAAGCTTTGATCGAAGCAAAGATATTAAGCAGGTCGAAGTAAGGGCAAATGGACTTTGAAAACATATTGAGTTTATCTCCTTACTGACCAGTTAGCATCAAGGACACATGAATTAATACAGATTGTAAGGCCATCAAAGTCACTCTGGTGACGTCATGGTTTCTGTCCGTCATCATGGGTCGTTCGTCGCTTGTTAACTTTAATATTTCAATAATTTATTCATAAACCGTTGAAGTATATTTCAACCAATTTTGATATGAAGCATTTAGTTCAAAATCATGGTACCTTCCTGCGTGGGATTGAAAGGTAAGGCAAATAGGCAATCAGAAGTTGGAAGGTTATTCTACTTCTGATTGCCAGGCAAATAACATGAAAATGAATGTAATTTTTTTTTAATAAAACTTCTTCTTTACTTGTGGACATCAATAAATAAACTGTTGGCAAAATTTTATAAGCATTGAGCCACCAAAATTCCCAAATTGTTGAATCCTTTCCCCCTATGTCAGGGATACTAGAGCTGGCTCGCATACTGATCTTTGTAAAATGCATTGATTCCTAGAATCTTTCTTTTTGTTCTTGAGTAGTGAGCAGACAAGATAAGTGCAAGATTTTGATTAACAATGGTGTTTTACCTTAATTGTAAAATTCATGGCCCCTTGGTCAGCCGTTCTTGGGTAAAGATGTATTTCTATTGATCAATTATTTTTCAAAACCATATTTCATTATTTTCAATATTCCCAACAATCAAAATGAATTTCAATCTCTTATACTGGGTTCTTAAAC